CATATCATAGGTCACCAGGATGTTAAGTAAGATGTTCATCCTGGGATTCTGCTTGATCCTCATAGACTGCAGGCTCTAACACAGCTTTAAGCAAATGGTACCAATTGAAGTAAGTTTGTAACTTCTTGGACCCTTGAGCGAGGACCTGCTGAAAGTAGGGGGAGTCTGGGCCTGACTCATTGACTGCCTTACGGGTGAGGGAGAGTTCAGCTATGGGGGTGGGAATCCAGGGCCGGTCATCGGCATTGGGCCCACATTGCCTGGGAAGGCTTCTATGGGCCTGTGGACTGACAGTGGTGCAGGCCGTGAGGGCTGTAAGATGCCTGGCACTGCAGGAGAGGAGCCACCTCCTGAGGCAGCCGGGTTCTGGGGTAGATCACCCCAAGAATGCTGTGGAGGAGGCGTAGCCGCCCCTGTGGTGACGGAGCAGAGAGGGGAGCAGCGCATGACTTAATGACAGATCTCTCTGGGCCCAAACTGTCTCCTCCTCCTCTTCGTCCTCCTCCTCCTCAGGTATTGTAGAGATATCCGACATGGAAGTGGTGGGGTGATGAAAAGATGACCCATCTTCTAGAGGGAAACAGTAAGCAAACACCAGTCAGAAGATGGCAGTCAACAGGGTGACAGTTTGTATTGGACCCTATGTCTTGTGCTTAGTGGGGGACTTCCATGGTGCTTTAGGCTACAGCTGTATGCCCACACAGTGTCAGCAGATAAGGGATGGCATTTGGGAGCCAAGCCCTGGTTCCACCTCCTGGAGGGTAAATCCTTATGTGGAGGTGCCAGGCGAACCAAAACAGAAAAAAACAACAACTGTGCCTTCCTAACAGGATAGGCAGACAAACATGACAGACAACACAAAAGAAGGAAAGAAGTGGGGGGTCCCAACATTTACCTGCTGAAGGGACTGAAAAAACACAACACTGAGGGGACTTCTCACTGAAACACACCGTCTTGGGGGCGCTGTCAAGCACTGTGAGTAAAGAGAGGGAGATGACCAGAACCTGTGCTGGGAAAGAGAAAGTAACAGAAACCCCATGTTCAGCCATCAGATGTTGCTTGGATCTTAACGGCTCCCTCGGGGGAGGGGGTGAGCAGGCACGGCATTAGTGAAACAGAGACCGGGAGTCAGGTGAAGGCAAACGGCAGACTCGTTTATTTAATAACGTGGAAGGCCTTATATCTCCTCCTCCCAGCACCCAGGCTGTGTCCCAAACTGGTGGCATTTTGTGGTCATCCCTCATTGGCTGGGCACACTCAGAAACTCTGACAGCGCCTGCTGCTAGGCCCCCAGGCAGACTCCAGGTTGGCTCATAAGGAAGTACATTATGTACATACCTTGGCAACTGGTTCGAGCCAATTTCTTTGACCCTGTGGGCCTGTCCTACTCCAACAGTGTCCAAATATCCCACAACAGCACCATCTTGGAAGCACTGAGCAGCAAGAATCCTCAACTGATGCTGAATCTATGGCTCTCAGGTCTTGGCTACCCTAGCTATTCAGAACCACCAAACAGACAAGACCATAGGATCTGAACAATGGAAGGCCACACTGTCCTCCCCGATCATCTGTTCTCCGTCTGTCTCCATGGTGTTCCTGCCCCCAGGAATCACGCCTTGGGCCTGGCCCCAGGTCAATTCTCAAGTCCCTTTCTCTGCCTGCCACTGCTTGTGTTTTTAGCTCACGCCACCAGCTGCTCCCTGAAGGAATTATTTCAGCTACAGAACTGGTCCCTCCCTTCTATGGACTTGACCCCTGCTAGCTCAATATAGGTCCGAAGTAATCAGAATGTGACAGGCACTGTCTCCTTGCTTGGAGGCAGTCCCTCGAGGTGACTAAAGCATTGTGAAGCCCTGCAATTGCATCTCATTGCGTCTCTCTCTCTCTTTTTTTTAAAATTATTTATTTATTGGTCTTTCAAGACAGGTTTTCTCTGTATAACAGCCCTGGCTGTCATGGAACTTGCTCTGTACACCTAGCTGGCCTTGAACTCACAGAGATCTGCCTGCCTCTGCCTCCCGAGTGCTGAGTCTGAAGGAATGAGTCACCACCGCCCGGCGTCTCTTCTCTTCTTGTCTCCCTCCCTCCCTTCCTTCTTTCCTTTCTTCCTTCGTGTGTGTGTGTGTGTGTGTGTGTGTGTGTGTGTGTGTGTGTGTGTGTGTTTTGAGACAGGGTCTTATGTAACCCAGACTAGCCTCAAATTCACTGTGTACCAAGGACGGTGGCCTTTAACTCCTAATGTTTTAGCCTCTGTCTCCCAGTTGTTGAGATTACGTGTAGCTACTGTCAGCTTTTTGTTGTTGTTTGTCTTTTGGTTTTTTTGTTGTTGTCTTTTGTTTTGTTTTGTTTTTTTTTAGACAAGGTTTTTCTGTACAGCCCTGACTGTCCTGGAACTCACTCTGTAGACCAGGCTGGCCTCTAACTCAGTGATCCTCCTGCCTCTGCCTCCTGAGTGCTGAGACTGAAGGCGTGCGCCACTGCACATGACTTAACTGTCTGCTTTTACAGTATTGTACTTCAGACTGCCAAAGTGGGTTCCAGCCACCGTCCTGACCCAGTCAGCTTGGATTCCCGGAACAGGACTGATCAATCAACATCCATATGACAAGGACCTACACCAGTGGCAAACATGGGCGAGCCAGCACACCATCCTGTGAGGGTGGTTGTCTCTGAAGGGATGACTGGAGCAAGCTCCTGGGAACTGACTTGTCCCTTTAAAGAGTATGGACTCCTGTGAGCCATCATCCAGAACTAGACTGAGATAATGATCAACCAGACCACCCTTTGACCAGAAGTGCTTACCTATGAGTGCCTCTTGTCCCTTGTCCCAATTCCTCCTCTATCTAAACCTAAAGCTCATGTCAGTGTCCAGAAGATGGACTTGGGGTCGGTCACTGGCCCCCCTTATCTACTCCTCTTCCTAATGTTGATGAAAGCTCTTTATCTGCTTTTCACTATTAATCATCTCTTTAATTAGTGCACTGGGACAGGTCACTGAGACCAGCCTTCAAGAGCCCTGGGAGCCTTAGCTCTTTCTGGGAACCCCCAAAAATAAGAACAGTCATGATCAGTGGCTCTGTAGTGAGGTCAGGAACCACACCTGTCCTGTCTTCTGATGTAAGCCTGATACTGTATATGGTGCTTGATCTGACACACAGTCAGAGTTCATGAGATACTTGTTGCAGATTGACTGTCCAAAGAACTCAGCCAAGCTTGGCAAAGCCTGGGCTAAATATCTGTGGACTGCTGTGACAGTCTCTCTCCCTGGTGACTGATCTCTGCGTTGGCTCCCAACTCTCCCCCGGAACCCAAGCTAACTTCTTTCAGCGTCTGAAGACCCTTTGCCTTCCAGTCTCACCTCCTAACACTCTCCGTCCACAATGAACAGCAGTCTCAGCCCTTCCAACTGGCGTCTACAAACTCGACTCTCTAAATAGACCATGCCACTGCTTGTTCTTTGGTTGGCCAACTCCTTGAGTTTTTGTTTGGATAATACCTTTAATCTCCAGCTTAGGCAAAGGCTTCCCTACTCCAGGGTCCCTGAACTTTGATGGCTCAGTATTGTTCCTTGTCCTCTTGCCTGCCTCCCACAAAGCCTGTAAGTCCTGAAAAGCAGGACCAATTTGGTCTGCTGCACTCCTGTCTTCCCAGAAGCAGCCTGAGGCCTGCCAGGGGACATGCAGCATGGATGGATGGATGCATTTCCTCGTCAAACCCCAGCATGTGTCTCTAAGTGTTCTATGCTCCTGATGCTTAGCCCTAGGCATTGCTCATCACAGTCCAGGGGAAATGAGACAGGATGACAAATCCCAAATTTGGGATTCTGAGGGGCTCTTTAAAAAGGTCCTATGAGCTGGTCATTGGTGGTGCACACCTTTAACCCCAGCACTTCAGAGGCAGAGGCAGGCAGATCTCTGAGTTTGAGGCCAGTCTAGTCTACAGAGTGAGTTCCAGGACAGCCAGGGCTACAGAGAAACCCTGTCTCAAACAAACAAACAAACAAACAAACAAAGGCCCTGTGAATTTTGGGTGTAGTTTAGTAGCAGAGTGGTTGCTGAAGAAGAAAAAGAAAAGAAAGAAAAAGTAGGTCTGTAGAGATGGCCCTGTTGGGTAAGAACCCCTGCTGTGCAGGCAAGACGACCTGAGTTGGAGACCCAGCTGTTGTGTGTCTTTTTGTACACTGTGAAGTTGTGTCGCTCTGATTGTTTTAATAAAAACCCGATTGGCCTGGAGCTAGGCAGGATTTCTGGGAAGAGGGGATCCTGGGAAGAAGGGAGATGGCCAAGAAATGAGGAGGAAGCTGCATGGGCAATACAGAGTAAAGGTAACTGAGCCATGTAAAAAAAAAAAACAAAACGTAGATTAAAAAAAATGGGTGAATTTAAGTTGTAAGAGATAAGTTAGAAACAAGCCTGAGCTATTAGCTGAGCTTTCATAATTAATAAGTCACTGTGTCATTATTGGGGACCATGGGTCCTGACAAAAAAATCTGACTACACCCAGCACCCATGACAAATGCTAGGTGGGATGGCCAGTGCTGGTCTGTAACACCCACCCCCACCAGAGAGAAAGGCAGCTGGGGAGTCCTGACCACAGCCCTCGCTCCAGGTTCAAGGTTCACCGAGCTTCCTATCACAAAGGAAGATGAGGTAAAGCAAGAAATCTGACATTCTCCTCTGGCCTCATACAACACACACACTTACACACACACACACACACACACACACACACACACACACACACACACACTCACTATTATTATTGTTTGGTTTTATTTATTCATTTATGTATTAGTTTGTGTGTATGTTTGTGCCTAAGTTTATATATATGCACCCCATACATGGAGGTACCCACAAAGGACAGAAGAGGATGCCTGGAGAAACAGGCAGTTATAAGCCGACAG